ACCAACTTTTATTACTTAAAGCTGCATTAATCAACTTAAGGCCCCTAGGGGGCAGAGAAACATCAAGACATGCTGGCATACACACAGTCAGACTGGACAGTTGTCATGGCTAATGTGTAACAAACAGTTGCCATTTACACATCCAGCAGACACAGAGAAGCAATAATCATCTCATTACACTTCTGTGTCTTACCCTTGACAAAAGCAACTCTATTTCCACTGGTATTTGAGTTCTGGTTTGGACGTTGTCATCTTGAAAAATATCTGGGTTGCCGTCTTGCCAGATACTAAAGTAACTTTAGACTTTCTCTACCAGCCAGCAAGTTAATCTTTGATTGTCTGGGGTTTGGGACAGGGCAGATAGCTAGAGTGGGGTATGAGAGATTTTCTGCTAAAAACTGCCAAGCTATTGCTGCTGAAAACCAGTCCTCCAAATTAAATGAAAAATACAACGATTGCAATTGCTCTTAAACAACACATCATTTCACCTTCCAAAACTGTTACAAACATATAACAGTTTCTGTTATATGTTCTGTTCTGTTCTGTCAATGATGAGTCCAATTTGTCATTGCTAGCAACCCATTTTGCATTACTCGTTTGTTTTCTGCACATAGTTTTGGTTTTATTTGCCCAGGTTTTGACATATCCATCTGCGAGACTTCCCCTAACACCGCGAAGGATTTTCTCTGTGACGCACACAACACTGAAACATTGCATTTAAGAAATTCAATTCATACTTGCAGAAACAATATCCTAACCCAAAGTGACCTTGTGTGAATACATTTTCTGTGGAATTCCTTTATACCAAAGAAATAGTCCCCAGACAGATATCACTAAACTTGAGCAAATAAAACCAAAACTTTTGGCATGGCAAGATATTCTTAATGTTAGCACACAACGTTATCATCCAATTGGGAGTTTGGAGATTGACCCTCATATACGTATACAATTACTGATTAATGCCATTTTAAGGATATATTAATGGAGAATAGGGAGGAAAGATGGACCATTTCCAGTTACAAGTTTATGGGATTTTGTCTGTGCATTTTTATGCTGGTCTCTCTGTACTTAATTCTATATTTCAGAAGAGTGTGCACATAAGGGTGGAATAATGGTGTCCACATTTCAGCAGAAATGACTATAACAGGAGCAGAGTTATTAGGGCATAAAGTAGTCTCTCATTTTATTACTAAAATGAGCTTCTTTTTTTTTTAAACAGGAAGTACTGGAGTCATTTCCCCAATTCCTCTCAGCTCTGTCAGAAATAACACAACCTGAAATGTCACATTACTTATTTATTGAAGCAAAAGACACTGTGATTTCACCTGCCATGTTTTTTCGCCCTCCGGTTTGTTAAGATGGTAAATTAAAGTTTCTGGCTGCTGAGTCTTTGCCAAATCTTTTTTTTTTCTTCTGTTTTTTGCAGTACTAGCAGAATAAGTAAGTGCCCTCACTAATGGATTTTCCTCGAACTCCTGTCTCTAAGCGGTGGAACAAGACTCCTGCAATGCAAATAAAAGTCTTTACTTTCCAGAAGAATAGCCTAATGCTCCACATGTAACATTAGGGATGTGGTGCAGAGGCAGAGCGGGTCGTCCCCTACTCGGAAGGTTGTTGGTTCGATCCCCGCCTCCTGGTGCCACATGTCGAGCAAGATACTGAACCCCAAATTGCTCCCGACGCATCGGTGTGTGTATGAATGCATTAGTTTCTGTTCGAATGTTCAAATGTGTGTGAAAGGGTGGCACGTAGTGTAAAAAGTGAAGCGATTGAGTGGTCGGAAGACTAGAAAGGCGCTATACAAGTGTAGGTCCGTTTACCATTACCAGGTAGTTTCAGATACAAACATAATCATCAAAATTCAAATCATATATGAAAATGTAGTGGCTTTATTTTTGCTTTTTAATCTTGCAAGCATGTATTCAAATGTGTATGTCTTTCCAGAGGCATTGATCATCAGCAAAATAATAACCTTGTGGGGATGACAGGGACATGGAGGGAAAAAGTCTAGAGTAAGGGATGAAGGGAGAGCTTGTTTTCTGTGGTGGGTGGGTGGGGAGGGAGGGATAGGGAGTGAAGGGGGGTGGGAAGGGGAGGATATGGAGGAAGGGGGGGACGGTGTTACAGACCTAAGCAGGTGTGACAGTTCTGAAAGCTTTCATGGGGAAAAAAAGGTTTCTCTGGCCTTGTAGCGATGCTAAACTGAGCGTGACCCTCAGACTGAACCCAGCCATCTCTCTCGCTCTCTCGCTTGCTTTCGTGCCTAAACGGCTCCAGAACAGGAAAACCCTCCACTGACAGTGTGTAGACTATAGGATTTAAGCTTACAAATTCCTACTCTCCTTCTATTTGTCCCTCTACCACTTTCATTTGATCTTTTTTTTCTAGTTACTATTGTTGACTTAAGAAAAAGTGCATACAGGAAAGAAAGTCCTTTATTTCAAATTGAATATCTTCTGTTTAATGTCACCTCTAATGGGATGGTTTGTACCATAATCACATTTACTCAGTATACTCATTTGTGTTTGTATTGTATTTTATGTCAGATGTCTAGACAAAAAGCAGAATTTCAATGTAGTGTCGGCTCTAGGTCCACCACTTTGGTCCAGACTGAAATATCCCAAAAACTACTGGATGGATCGCCATGACATGTTGTACAGAGATTCATGGATCCCAGAGGAAGAATCCTAATTACTATAGTGATGCATTTTCATCTTTACAGTAAAATCGCAGAATCTAGATGGACTGGCATAAAATGTTGTATCGGCATTCATGGTTCCCAGAAGATTATTTTAGCATTGGTATTGTGAGCATGTTAAATGGACCTGTACTTGTATAGCACCTTTCTAGTCTTCCGACCACTCAAAGCACTTTTACACTACATGGCACATTCACCTTTTCACACACATTCACTCAGTGATGGTAAAGCCCATCCAATGGAAACTAACTCATTCACACACCAATGGGAGCAATTTGGGGTTCAGTATCTTGCTCAAGGATACTTTGACACCAGCACCAGGAGCTGGGGATCAAACCAACAACCTTCCGATTAGGGGACGACCCCCTCTGCCTCTGCGCCACAGCGGCCGCATGTTAGCATGCTAATGTCAGGATTTAGCTCAAAGCTCCACTGTACCTAAATACAGTTCAATACTCTCAGAATGGCTGTAGACTCTAAGTGTTGTTATACTACAGTTTGTAAAATGTATTGAAGCCTGCCATAAGAAGCTAAGAATTTCATTACTATGCCTTTTAGTGGTGGTTCAGAGTCCCATGATGCTCTAAATGCGGTTTCGCAGGCTCCTCTGCCCTAACAAGGATTAAGCTCTCTGGGAACACTGAATCCTTGCCATTTTTTGGAACCTTTGAGGCATAAAAAATGGTCAGATGCAAAGATCTGGAATAGTGGCGGCTCATATAAGCCTAACCCCAGCGTTTACCCCCTTCCATCTGCCCCTGTTTACCCCAGACTGTGGCTCTGTATGTTAGGGGACAAAGGAAGTCCACACAGGCAGAAGGCAAGAGCGCGAGCTATCGGATTGGAACTCCTCCACCTGCCAAGAAAAGTAAGTCTTCCTTTTATGAGCCAATTGAAATTCAGCTCACAGGCTATCCATTCCGTCAATGACAAGAGGAGTCGGGACAACCTTGCAACCCCCAACACTAATAACACTGTAACGGTCAGAGATAGATCAAGCTGAACGCTGATAGTTAGAGCGGGTCTTCGGCCTCCCATAAGTGTTTATTGCAGACAATTTTTGCCTTCATTTGTTTTGAGCAGATGCATTCCTGGGTACAGCTGCGGTCGATCGTAATAGTTTTCACTCCGGCAGCCTACTGACAAATGACCAGTTTTTGCTGTTTGTTCAAAGAGTATCGGCCCGCAGATAATGCATGCTACTGTATATACCTAAAGACCCAATACATGAGGAACGGTCTGCTCCTGTTTTGTATGCATCAGCCAAGCTCTAACCTTTGACCCCTGGTGCTTCACTCAATGGCGTGACGGGTTCATTACCACAATCTGAATGTGAAGAATCAATCCTTGACAGTCTGTTCCAGGCATTCTCCTCACTGCGTTTTTCACTACATGCACATAAGTGTTTTGGAATCAATAGAAGTGGAGTGCAAAATGGGAGATTAGACTAAGAACAGACTTCTACCCAGTTTCAGCAGCTAGAGGTACCCTCTCTGTTATAGTCAGCATTGCCACTAAGGGGCAGTAGAGAGCCTGGAATGAAAGTGCCATGTCTTCAGGGCACCCTGTCTGAACAGAAATTATACTAACAAATTAAACACTGAAGATATGTCATCATCTATCATTATCTTACCCACATCAATTAATGTACACTTGATATACTGCAGTACATAACGGCTCAATACATATTAGATTTGCTATATGGTCCCAGTCTGTAGTTTAGTTTTCACTCTATTTTTATCTATCTATCTATCTATCTACCTATCTATCTATCTATCTATCTATCTGATGAGGATTCTCAAATGAAAAGTGTCTCTGAAATCAAGATTATTTTTTACTTTTGGTGATGAAATTAGTCAGACATGATCATAATCGTATTAGAAATGCATTAAAATAACTATAAAGATAAATAATCTTAATTTCTTACAATAAAAAGTAATCCTAACCTGTTATCTATTGTCCCTAAATTGTATTTTAAAACTACAGGCATGAGCATATAGTATAGTGACACCAAACTACCATATATTGTCATTATTCAATTCACTTTTGAGCACATCTGGCTCTGACACACCTTCAAAGTGAATATTATTGTTATAAGTTCCTATATGAGTTTCCCTCAGAGTAAAGTGAATCCAGTGGTAGGGGACTTCAACACCTTCAAGTAGTCTAGACATTTTTATTATACCAGTGGTCCACCGTACAGCGGGCACACCCATACCAGTACTGAAAATCTGATTATCGCTACTGGAGGCGGCGCGCATCCACACAGCTCTCAGTAGGCGGCGTTAGTCCGAACAACTACGTCCTTCTGAGCTCACTTCCGCCGGCTTGAGTCGGATCGCTGTTCTTTTACTGTCTCTCACTGCTTTTGTTCTCCCATTTCTAACCAGCCACCGCTGCTGAAAAGAGGGAACCAGCAGGTTGGGAAACCACAAAGACGCAAAGTAGCGGACCAGTCCGTCGCAGAAACGCCTGGTAGCCACATGCAAAGCGCCGTCTGCACAGAGGATACGCGGCACTCCGTAGTTACATAACTGGACTACTTTTTTTCTATTATTGTTGGGTTTTTTTTTCACGCTTTTTTGTTGCACCGAAACTGACTCCCTCTCTCTTAACTCAAAATGGAGAACGACGACAAATATCTCCCCGAGCTGCTGGCGGAGAAGGACAGCCTGGACTCGTCGTTCACGCACGCCATGAAACTTTTAAACACAGGTAAAGTACTGTAAATGGCGTTTATTGTGCCTCTCGGGATGTGCTTTGTGCTCGGAGTGTTAGAGGGGAAACATACGGCTCGTGGACGCACCTAACAAAACACCTCCACGCTTTGCCATGTGTTTGCGGACGGGACGTTGACTGCCCCATTAACCGCAACACTTAAGTGCTTTTAAAGCCAATTAATGAATGTCATACATAGAAGCAGGTGTTACATAGATAATAGCGAATGACTAGTGCCTGACATTGTAAATAAGACGAAGCTGCTACAACACCACAGACCGAGACACACTTTCAAATATTCTTCCGAATAATTTCCGCTTCCCCTCGTGCAGCTGCGAATCTGTTGTCCCCCCGTGCTGTCGGGGCTCGTGCCGAGTTTAAACTTGGAAACTCTCCCTCTCGGGACAAACGGTGCGTTTGTTTTCGTTGTCGACGAGCCCCTGTTGATCTCAGTGTCTGGCGGCTAACGTTGCGCAGCAGCATATAAATGTGCGCCAGTATCCGTGACTGGGGTCACCTCGCTACTTCAGAGCCGACAGGCGGCCTGGCGGCGGACACAGAGAGGTTTAGGTCCCGCTGCTGAAGTGTCCTTGAGCAAGAGACTGCAGCCTTGGCAGCTCCGGGGACTGCTGTGCTGCACAGGGGGCACAATGAGACTGCCTCTGGTATTTATTTCCCGGTGCTCGTCTGCTACACGAGCCGTAGCTTATTATTTTTGAGGGACGGCACTGTATGGATGTCACAGGATGACTTAAGTCCAATTATGTAAAGAGACTGTGGTGTTATGTACCAGAAAGTACCGTAGCATAGCCATAAAGTCACTACTGAGTAAGTGTATACATAGGCATAGGAAATAATGGTATGTAAATATCCTAATAAATAGAATAATACACCACAATTGGGACATATAAGCTAGCCACTGCCTGCGATAAATAAACTGAATGACTGCTAGTTAAGTGATTATTTTGTTGTGAGTCATTTCCTGCTAGCTGGATCTTACATGCTGCTCCAGTCAGTGTACCTCTTGGTAATGATTTAAGCTCGAGTCTTTGTCTAACAGGATGTGCAAAATCTAGGCTGAAATTGAAAGTGAGAAAGATCAAGAAAGACAAAGTGTGTCAGTGTGTGCTGTGGGTTCCCTCGGTTCGACATCTACTGAGGCTCTCTCCCCCCCAATCTGTGAGCTGGTACACCGTGGTGTAGCTGACATGTTTGCACATCGCAGGCTCAGGAGTAGTGATGGCCAGGAGTGAGGAGGTGGTATGAGGTGGTATGAGGTGGAGAGCTGCGATGGTGCTGTTGGAGCCGATGGGTGCTGGAGACTAGGTGTTGTGCCACATGGAAGAGGTGACAGAAGGTGTGGAGATGTGCTGATTGATGGCTGCCTGTGTTAAAATTGTGGTTTAAAATTGGTCACATAACAAGTTCTCGAGTCCAAAGTATGTCTATTTACATGTCAAATTTTTTTTGATCAGCGGTCCAAAATTCAAAAAATATTGTTTCCTGTGATGTAAGGAAGAGATTGTTTGGAGTTTTGTTTAAAAATAGGTGAATTGATGATCCAAATAGTCCCCAGTTAATAGAATAACTCTGTTTCAGCTCTGTTCAAGGTGTTGACAAGATCACAGAAAGGTGCTAAATAAAACACATTACTCTTTCATCATGTCGTATTCATCTGAAAGCATCATTGTGTGTTTGGTATTCAGTGAATGATTGCAACTCACAAGAATTCAAGATGTCTCTGTTTAACACTGTGTAGAATTAGGCTGAAAAGCCAATGATTTCTTTAGATGTTTAAGATGAAGAGAACTGCATTAGTTCAATGTGACTGTGTGTCTTGAAAAGTTAACAATTGAACCAAATTCTAACCTAGACACTGAGATGGCTTATGACCTGCAAATCTCCAAATCAGTGCTCACTTGATAATGTGCATGAGTAAGTGCACAAGAATCTTTCTCATTACAGCTTTACTTTGCCTCTTTGAATCTTGTTTGATTGTACAGTTTGCCTGAAACATTACCTCTCCCCCTCTAGAAATTGATAGAATCCAGAAAGGCGAGACTAAAAAGGAGGCAGAAGCATACCTGGACCTTTTCACAACAAAGAACATCAAACTTAAGGAACGAGTGCTCATACCTGTCAAACAGTACCCTAAGGTGAGCTCTCTTTGCCCTTGTTTTTTTTTTCTTCTTCTTCTCCTTCTTCCCTCTTGATTTAATTTATCCTGCAGCTGGGTTTCAATTACACAAAGCCATGGGGTTACTTGGAGTCTCAAATTACTTCTCTCAACCTTGATCTTTAAGCTCCAGAGTATAATTACAGCCCATACTGGCATGTTTTAAAATATCACTAAAAGGATCAAAATGTTAATATTACTATGGTGGGGATAGCGTTATATTGCAGTGTGATATGTTGAGCAGACTGGATCTCCTCTTCGTTTGCATTCAGAGTGATGTCTTACTTTGCTTTATCATGTAACCTCAGGTGTGTTCATCCACATTCAATCCATATCTGGCGCTCACGTAAGGCTACATTGATTTTAGGATGATGGCATGTGAGGGTATAATCTGTGTTGTAAAATTTAAAGAACACATTGCTAGTTGCGTAATCCTTCATTTGCATGTTGTTGAATTTATTTGCATCAGTTTGAGTCACCTAGGACTATGGCGGCTGTCTTAAGCCTGTTGTGTGACTGTTAGGATTGTGTTGACTTTTTCCATGTTCATGAAAATGGATAGACTGCAATTCTGTGAGAATTTTTTTCCCCTCCAAGAAGTTCTAACAAGAATAAGATCTATAGATGCCGCCCCACCTCGAGCTTCAGATCAATATGATGTAGGAGTCTGGTCTGATCTCCAGAAGGCTGTCTTAGTTTGCCAGACTTGCTTTCAGTTGGTACGTCAGTCTGCTGTGTCAGGGATGACAAAGCTAATGAGTGTTTTCAGATTATAGAAGCTACTTTTACAACTCTGCGAGGGATTGCTTCCTTCCTTGGGGGGGGGGGGTACTCTTTGCTAAATGCGTTAGGCAATAACAGCTAATTGTAGGACCCATCATATACATGTTAACTACTTAGTTCGAAGGTTGAGGAGGTAAAGATTGCAGCTCTTGATCACCATCCGGTGCTGCTGCAGTGCTTGGATAATTGTAGTGAATAGTAACTGACCGTATTTCAACCTCCCAAGTGCTCATATCGACCTCCTCTGGTAAATCTACTACTTAAAGCTGCAGTATGTGCAACAAAACCCCTGACAGTGATTGCTCCTTCACTCTCTGGGTACTAAAACTCCCCCCTGCTTTGATTGTCAGACTAATTTTGCTCTGCTTTGTTTTTCTATTAGTTCAATTTCGTGGGGAAGATTTTGGGACCTCAGGGCAATACAATCAAACGTCTGCAGGAAGAGACCGGAGCCAAGATCTCTGTGCTGGGCAAAGGATCCATGAGAGACAAATCCAAGGTAACGCGCACACACACACCTGGTGTTGCACACCTGTGAGATGGGTACCTGAAGCCATAACACATCTGGCCTGTACTTGAGAGTGTGGATGGCAGGCAGTGAGCCCAGATGGCGTCAACTTGCAGGATAGCTGGGGTGATCGTTAACGTAAAGCAAGGGCATCCACGCGCTGCACATCTGTTCCAGGGGTCTTCTGGATATCCCGCTAAACCTGTTATCCACCAGTTTGATGTAATCATTAAGCTATATAAAAGGAATGGAGCACCACACCTAATCCTGATGCCCTCAGAAGTGGATGAGATGCGATTACCTGTACATGACTCGCTGACACTCCTGTGAATGTTGCCCTTGTTCCAGGAGGAGGGGCTGAGGAAAGGCGGCGAGCCCAAGTACGCCCACTTGTCTATGGAGCTGCACGTATTCATCGAGGTGTTTGCGCCCGTGCCAGAGGCTTACCTGCGCATGGCCCACGCCATGGAGGAGGTCAAGAAGTTCCTGTTTCCTGTGAGTCTGACTTTGTTGTTTTGTTTGTGCTTGTGTTTTGTTCTCTGGTGGGAGACCGTCTATTGACTTGTCTGCGTGGACATTCCTTGAGCTGCTTCAAACTATTATTTTCCCCTGTTAATTAACATGTTAATTATACATCCGATGTATCATTGAGCTTGTAAAATGTCACCAATGTTGACAAACACTCAGCACAAGTTAGACGCTAAAGTGATGTCTTTAGATTCCTATTCTAAAGATAAATCAAAGCTAATCTTTGTATTTTATTTTTATTTTTGAGTTAATCTGCCAAATATTTTACATGATTCATTTTAGTCAATAAATATAAAAAATTGTGGGAAATGCCTGTTTCAATTCCCTAAAGCCAGAGTTGATATTTTCAAATAGCTAGTTTCGTCTAAACAACAGCCTGAACCCCCGAAAATGATGATTCAGTGTAACATCACAGTCAAAGAAAAGCACTATATCATCACAGTTTGGAAGCTGAAAGTCTCGCACAATACAAAGTTTTCTTGTTAGAGTTTTAATCTGAAAACAAGTCTTACATTTACTTTCTTTGCAAACCCTCAGCAGCTCCCCATCCCCATCCGTGCTCCTAAAAATAGAACATAACACCACGCCATACCCAAATTCACACAACATCTTGACATCTCTAATTCCTGGGATGATGAGAATATTGAAATCTAAAAACGGACTCGGAACAAGGTTGAGAAACCCTCGCTGAAAGTGTTCTTGGGTAATTGACTGAGCGTGTGTCTTTCAGAAAGGTGGAGCGAGTCATGGCAACTTGTACAAAGCAATGCAACGTAAATAAATCTGCTTAGTGGAGGTGCTGGGTTGCACTTCACTAGGACTGCAACTAACAATTCTTTTTGCTATTGATCCGTCAATAATTGTCTTAATTGATTAGTTAAAAATCTGAATTAGAAAATGGGGGGGGAAATGTTGATCGGCTTTCACAGAGGACTAAAGAAACCAGTCGTCCAGGCTACATGTCTGTCATTACTGTGTCTTTACCCGAGTGTCATTCTTCATGGAGTGAGGACAGTCAGCTTAGAGATGTATAGCTACCAGACAGATATGTGGTAGAATTCACCCTGTGCGCCCTCACGCTTACTTTATTGGTTTTATGCTGAAAGATTCTTGAGCGTGGGCCAACCCAGTCTGCTGTAAAGCCTGTAGTGCTCTAACAATGGCTCATGCCCAAGCAGGCCCAGAGTGCTATAGAAGGGAGAATCATGTGGATCAAAGGCGAGATGTGTGTATGTAAAAAGCCGTCCCCTGCAGAGCCTGTCGTTACAATTTAAAGCTATAATCTGTCAGGCTTGACAGCCTTCATTTGGAACCGGGCTGTATTTTAATAAATGAATCAGGTTCTCAGAAAATGGGTGGATGTGATTTGTTGTTGAAATGTTTTATGTATTACCTGTACTCCTCCTCGGGTATTCCAGAAGGCTTTGACTCTTTTGTTCTTCCCCATCTCTTTTATATCCGTATACCTGTATGTCTACCAATGTAAATGCAAAAGCAGAGCCTTGCTCCTGTGTGAAGGATTTGCAGATCCTCGAAACTGACGCTTTATAAAAATATTGTATATGGAATATAATCTCTAAGAAACCTAATTATCTAAACACCCTGATGGGTAAAGCTAGGTCATCTGGCTGGCTTGTTAAATGCAGCTTCAGTCATGCTGCTCTTCGCTTGAGATGAATTTGCAATCAGTCAAATGGTTTGTGTTTGCTTTGCTTTTGCTGCAGATAAATTGAAAGCTGCCGTCTGCGCTGCGTACTCTAGTATCTGCCTCTTTTTTTTTTTCTCCTTCTCTTTTCATCGTCATTAGAGCTCCATCACCATTCCAAGGACTGATTTATGAAAAAGAATTGATTGGGTCACAGTGCAGCCCTTGCGATGGCTCCCTGAAGAAAGGCGACGGATTGTGTTGCAGGATTTGTGTTGTTCAGACAGGCAGCTTCACTAATTCATTCCAACTTATTGTTTTTTTGTGGGTAGAATAAGGTAACCATTGATACAGTCACACAAGACTTGTAAAGAAGTGCAGGGAGAAGTGATTTACATTTTGTGCATGATGGAAAGGCACAGGAAGGCAGGGAGTGTGGATGGATGCTTTCCAATCTCCCACATCCACGACCCCCCGCCCCCTTCTCTTTAACACTCTGAGTCACTGGCACACGAGAGTTTTTCTTCCACTCGCTCCAGTAGCCATTAGGGGGATGCCGTGTTGTGAGCAGCTCTGTAATTGTGTTTCACTCTTTTATTCATTGCTTGTTCTTTACCACTGCCTCCTTTTTCTTCCCCCTTCTCTCTCCTTTGTTGCTTTTCCTCTCTCCCATGTCATGTGCTTGTTGTTGTTTCTCATCCTCCTCGTCCTTTTATTGTCTTCCTCTCTGTACGTGTGTGTAGGATATGATGGATGATATCTGCCAAGAGCAGTTCATGGAGATGAGCTACCTGAACGGAGGCCAGGAGCACGGAGCCCGAGTCCGAGGGGGCATGCCGGTCAGGGGCCGCGGAGTCCCTCCTGCTGGAGCACACAGGTGTGAAGATGCGTGCACGCATGTGCACACACAAGCACACACACAAACACACAAACACACACTGGGTTTCTCATATAACAGCTGCTGGGTCACAAAGACACTGTTGTTCATCTGCTACTATATCTATGGATCAACGGGAATGCTGAGCAAGGCCGGAAGACACATTATATTTACTCCTTTTTCTGTAATTGTGTAGTTTATTGCGTACTTATGCTGATAAGCAGTTTTTGGAAGTCTAGGCATTTTTTTTGCCATAAGATATTGACCTCTCACAGGGAATACTGCGCTGCCTATAAACCTAATGTCAGAAGCAACTTTAGCGAGGTGAAAGAACATCGAGGAATCTAAATCAATAGCTGTTCACACAAACATTTCCAAATACTCCTTAAATTGTTAATGTTAAGTTTCTTAATAAAATTTTAAGAACTATACATAAATGGGAAATGTAAATGTCTTCAAATGATGGTCTTCAAAAAAGGTTCCTTTTTAAAGGAATAGCCTGATATTTGTTTTTTTTTGTTTTGTTTTTGGCAAACAGGCTTATTTGCTTTCTTGCTGTTGGATGAGAAGATACCAAGATAAATACCATTGGCGGCGGTAATGGTAAAGTAGGCGCTTAGCTTAGCATGAAGATTAAAAATGGGAACGACTGCCTCAATCTCCATCTAAAGTTGAAAAAAATCACCTACCAGCACCTTTTTAAAGCTCACTAATGAACGTGTTATTTAAACAAATGAAATGTAATGTATTTTGTTACCTTTGGACAGAGCCAGTCTTGCTATTGCCCTCTTATTTGTTTTGTCTTCATGCTTATCTATGCTAAGCTAACTGGCTGCTGGGTGTTGCTTCATATTTAGTGGTGTTCTCCTCTAACTCTTGGCAAGAAAGCGACTGAGTATATTTCCCAAAACGTCGAACTGTTCCTTCAAGTAGAGGAACACGGTAATAACTCAGTGTTCTTCTCTCCAGGGGTAGGGGAATGCCTCCTCGTGGTGCTCCCGCCAGGGGAGGTGTCACTCGAGGTGGCCCAGCAAGAGGTGGCGCAGTGAGGGGTGCCCCAACAGGCCGAGGAGGACCTCCTGCAGCACCCGCCAGGGGAGCCGTGGCACCCCGTGCCAGGCCCCCAGCTGGTGGACCCCCCCAGAGGATGGCGCCGCCCCCCCACCAGCACACCCCTGCTGCAGCTGCTGAGAGCTACGAGGAATATGTAAGTACAACTGCCAGTGGTAGTTTTCATATATCCATTTAGTTTGCATGTGCCTGTCATTAGCACAATTATATCATGTTATATTTAATATAATTACTACACTAACAAGTAAAAGATCACTTTAAACATACATTTTGATACAGTAGACATTAGAAATGATGAGACTTTTGAGGAATAAGTGACAGCCCAAAGATGAGTTCTTCTGTCCAGATGTGATGCCGTCAGGTTTGACGTAGCTAAATCTGAATGAGATTGTTCTGGGCACTCTGTTAGCTTTGAATTGTTCGTCTGTCAACACAAGAATAAGTGATTTGGGTTGTTCGAGACATGAGGGGAGTGTGTCTGCTTCAGTACAAGTGTAGTACTTTGGGGACACCTTGACATTCATGATTCATGAACGAGCCTCTCCCTAAATCTCGTTCTGTTTCTCTGTTTCCTTCCCTCTCCAGGGCTACGATGAGAGCTACACAGACACGGCCTACGACTCATACGACAGCTATTACAGTCAGCCGCAGGCGTGAGTGAATCAGACGTCTCTTTGGTTTTCACCTGCTTCCCACAAAGTGCACACACATTGCCACATTGCTAGTTTCACTCAAAAAGGGATTAGAGAGCAGCAAAAATACTTTTTAGCCACTCTGCACAGATTCAGCGCTGATGGTACTTCATGGTTTGGATGGTGGTGTTATTTAGGAGAACCAGTCGGGACTAGGATGTTCCATGCTAAAGAGCCAAGCTTTGATCTTATTCATGGAAGCCAATTATCATCCCCCTAGACATTACAGTCAGCAGCTACTTGATGTTTCTCAAAGATTAGAAGTGATTTTTTTCTTCTCTCTCCCTGTTTTTGACCATCAGAGAACCAGAATACTATGACTACGGACACGGAGAGACTGCAGAGTCGTACGAGTCCTATGGTAAGGAAAAAATGTTTTCCTTGTCAACAAAGATTATTTCATTTATACAGTTAAACAGATGCTGAATATAAAAAGTTTGTAAAAAAATAAATAAATAAATGTATTTAAAAAGATTAAGTCCTGTAGTGTGCAATATTTCCTTACTTGATGAATGAATGAATTTTCATTTATTGACTTCTTGAATGATTTGAAAATATTGATAGCCATAAAATTGAGTTTCTGGATCAGCAGCCCAACTTTAAAGGACCCTGTGGAGTTTTCTTACCACCATAGAGCAATATTGTTATGAGTGGGTCCCCGTTTTGCATGTATCAGGCAATGCAATACACAGACCCGCCAATGGTTTCGTGTTATTCCCACACTGTTGTTAAACCTCAGGGGGAACCCACAGTGCAAGCAAACTCCACAGAGTACCTTTGATGCCTTTTGAGTTGTATATGTGTGTTTATTTTCGTCTGTGTGTGTGTGTGTGTGTGTGTGTGTGTGTGTCCTCTCCAGGCCAGGATGACTGGAACGGGACCCAGCGAACGGTTCCAGGGAAGGCCCTTCCACCCTCCAGAGGTGCCAAGACGCCTTACCGGGAGCACCCATACCGACAGTACTGAAGTGGACTCACCACCTTTAACGTGTCGCCCTGACTACCGCCTGTCTACCACGGCATCTCTCGCTTTAAGAAGCCCGACAAAAGTAATTGTCCGTTTTGTCTTTGGTTTGGTCTTTTCCTACACCGGACTTTATACGAGAGAGCTAATTTGGGAACTGAAAATCGGACCTGGTTTTTGAGATTTGACCGCGAACTCCCTCCCCCACCCCTACTTTGTCGCACCAACTAACCAACCAGCCACCAATCCCTCCAACCAAAGCGACTTTTAGATGGGTTAGAGAGGAGAAGTTGGCATCCTTTTTTTGTTCTTTTTCATTTGAAATTTTGTTTATTTTGCTGTATTTTTTCCTCTGACCCTTTTTACCCCCCTCTGGCTTTTTTGCATTGTTGATCGTTCATTTTTTAACTGTTTTGGAGTAGTCATTTCTAGTGGAAATAGTGGCTCATTATCCAGTTGTCTAAGGAATCCATTTTAATTGTTTTTAAATACAAAGAATCTGTCGAGGGTCAGTTGCAGATTCCCATTTAGGCTACATTTCAAAATTCTGTTAATATAGCCAAATAAAAGACCTTTTAAACTTTCAATTATGTAATATATAAACAAAAAACTATCATAAATTAAGTGAAGGTTAAAGAATCAATGTTAATGGAATCAGTACAATTCATTCTTGATGATGGTTTGTTTTTAAATAGTTCTAAAACGTTGTCCATTTAGACTTAGGCAGCAATATTTGTCATTGTACTTAGAGTTTTGAAATATAGCCCTAATAGACACTGTTGAGATGGACTGTCCTCATATCCTCAATTTGTTTTACATGTTAAAAATTAATTTTAACTCTGAAGACAAAATGTTTATTTAATGAGAACACGGCCGAGAGACGGCCTCCTGTTATGCTAAAACAGTTCAGGTCTTCATTTTGTGATCTGATTCTCTATAAACTGCATGCACAAAGTACACAAAGAAGGATTGGGACAAAAATCTCCACATGGGTCTTCTCTTTCTATAGAGAAGGGATCCTGCAGCTCAATCCGAACTCTTGTACATATTTTAAAACATCTTAACTGTACTTATTCTGCCACTAGTATCTGTACCCTCTCCATAAAATGCATTATGCTACATGTGTAAGCTTGCCTAAATAGGTTACTAAATCTGTCCAAAAGATGTTTTGCAGCAATTTGTCAATAAAGCTTAGTTTGTTTTTTATGAAACTTAACTTGCTTTATTTGTTTCCTGTCCTAGTAAAATTCTGAAATGGCTTTTTTTAAAACAACGTTCAACAGTCAGATGTAGGTGTTTTCCTTTGTTTCTCATTCAAAACCGCATTTTAAATCTAAATGAATGTATTGACGTCTGAAGACTTTAACCCTACTAAATGATGTCTTGATTGATTATCAAAAGAGCACAACTTATTCTTTCTCTCTCTTTCTATACTTTTTAAAAAGGACCCAGAGGTAAGACCTCTAAAATAACCTGGATAGCTTCCTAATGTGTATAGAGTTCTAAAGCATTGAATGCCTGGGTATGTATAAGACTTTTTCAATCCTCTTACCTGTGGTCGTAATCGTTAATGAGAATTGCTTTTATAGCATCTGAAAATTAACTGAATTCAAACCACCATTCAGGTCTAGGCTTCATTGTCATGAATGACGCTGGCGCGATGGCTACTTTAGTACAGAGTAATGGCAGTGCAATGGAGAGGATGGTTATAACCTAGAGAACTCCACTGTAAAGGTAACCTAACCCTAAATGTTTAATTTCGTAGTGTGTTTATACATTGACATAAACTTGCTGGTAAATGCGTACAGTTTCTTAAAATATTATTACAGTCATGGCAACAAAAAAGAGTCGACTCAAAAGTAAGAAAAACGTAACTTCCAATATCATACAGTAGTGAATTTTATGTACCAAAATAACTGTTCTGTGTACTAACAAAATATATTAGAATAGTGTAAATGCAACTCTTGCTAAAATGATCAAAGCCAAATCTATGTCAATATCTGTACAGTTGAGCTGCTGTTACTTTTTTTATTTGCTCTGTAAAGGTTGCTTACTGTAATATTTAAAAGGTTCTGCCTGTACAAAGTTATCCAAAAAAGAAAGCTTGAGTTGCATGAGCATATCTTCTCCTGTAGACATTGCATGATCTCTGTCTCAAATTTCTCCCAGTGTTTTTAGACAGGGTATTGATTTGGGGTTTGTCCTTCCTCCAGGCACAGCTATCGGTCACTGAGTGCCCCGGAGACTGACAGTCTGCTGAAGTGCGAGCATTCAAACCTCAGGTTGGTCCACCGCTGCACCTGTTTCCATTTTAAAGGAGCATACCACTGGGTTGTGCATGCTATAGCACTTTAACTTAGAACCTGCATAGTTTTTTTTTATTACCACTAGCCATACAACAAGTCTTAAAGAGTGATTTTTCTCCCTTCCAGGCAGTCATTAGTGTCCGTAAGTGTTGGTACAAAATTAATTTATATGAAAATCAACATGCATAGACTTTAGGATTGCATGAAATGTGCCATCCATCACAGAGAAGAAATCCAGCTTCTTTATTAATGTGTTTACTTTTTTATCAAACCCTAATTTCTTTTGTAGCAAGTATGTCGCTGCATGAGCTCAAATTCTGCTTCCAGACAGAAGCCTTTATGAAGGAATAGTGTGAAAAGTTCAGATATTCTGCTCATTTGCGTTCTTGCTGAGTCGTGCACGGTAAATAGGATGCCACGGACAGCAGCCGGTTAGCTTAGCTTAGCTTACAGACTAAAAAGGAGAAAATGCTAGCCTGGCTCTGCCCACAGGTAACAAAATCTGCCTTCTGCACAAAAACTGATGCATAACTCGATATATCGGATAACTTCCCGGATTCTCCACGAAATGCACGGCAACTGCCCTCAACCAAGAAACAGTGCGACACATGCTTCTCTGTAAAACGCCGAATAGTTGTTTTTACACTTTACGTTTTGACCATCAACCTTTGAACAGAGCCAGGCTAGCAGTTTCGCTCCATTTCCAGTCTTTAAGCGAAGCTAAGCTAACTAGCTATCGGCTGTAGCTTCACATTTGCTATACAGAGAATACATATTTTATTTTCCCAACAATACCTCAATAATGCGATTTGTTTTTAAGAGCTGGAATCAGGGGGGCTTTAGTCCCAGCTTGCAACACTAACTTTAAAAAAGATGACAAACTCCCCCTCTGTGATGGATTAGCCATCTCAAGCTGTAATGTAAAGTATACACAATTTGTAGGTAATGGCCTAAAACACTCAGAACCACTGGTATGGTCCTTTAACTTTTCCCATTTTCCCAAAAGACCATTGTGCCAGAAACTTTGCTGCAGATGCCCGTGGGTATTTCAGCCAGTGTAACATTATGCAGCAGCAGCACGTTTGTGATATTCACAGCATTTCAAAGGTTGGTTGATTCTGATGATTGCCCAGCTCCTGTAAGTCGCCTAGCTTTTGACAGTGCCTGTGAATTGGTGTGTGGCCGCGCTAGCCTTCAGCAAGTCTGAGTGAGGGAGAGCGCGTCGCCGGTGTCAGTGTGGTCTCAGGGAAAGTGACTAATGAGGATCCGTAGCTCAAGGCTCCCTGACAGAAGGAAAACAGGAGCAAGAGGGACTCTTGGCGATTCCCGAAATGGAACCAGCAGGAGGAGAGAGGTGTCAGAGGGATTTCACATGACGTCCTGTCCGTCCCTCGAAGGCAGGATAAAGTTAAATTAAGGCTCGAAAAGTAATGCTTGGTGGTCAGACCTTGAGAAACATTAACTGTCACCGGCGTTTTTAGTGGAGGGGAGCTGGATAACGAAACATTTTAGAACATGTTTGAGATGTGTTTTGAAAGAAAGGCAGCCCCCTTGTTTGTTTGTTCAATACAACTATCTGCTGTTTCATGTCCAGACTTTATAGGAGCCTTATTTTAAATAATGCTAATTATGAATGAGACATGTCAGGTCCTCGTTATGCTCGATGCTGCTGCAAAATACTCCAAAACTCAGACCTGTGACCACATTAGCTGTTGATTGAAATATTAATGCACTAATCCAAAGTCAACAGTCTTGCCAGTAATTATGTCTTACTTAGCAAAATGTTGCTTAGCTACTGTTGAAGAGTGCTGCTTGGCAGGAAAATTACCTTTTTAATTATTCCAGCCACTGCCTAGAAATTAAATTAAAAAAAAAAGTGGACTCTCTTTTTTTTTTTTTTGCCAAACACTACCTCTTATCTGTCATTAAATCCCTAAAGCAGAGGAGGATTTGTGACTTAAAGGACCAGCATTCTGTGTTTACTTGTGGGCTCATCCCGATGTCTCTCCCCTGTGGTTTTTGTCTCTTCTGCAGTGAAGCCGTGCACAGGAGCAGCTCAGCGTGAAGGAGGTGGTCAGACCAAGCTCTCGGGGGAGGGGAGGGGTGGGTGCGGGTGCGCCCTGTTGAAAGGAGTGGCCCAGTTCTGTTCCTGGCAGGGAGTTGGGGGGTGGGTGTTGTGGTGGCTGGCTGCCAAGTGACCCACAGGAGCCAGCTGATGTAGCGCAAGGGGGGGGGCAGGAGAGAGGGAGAGAGAGAGAGAGAGAGACGAGCTGGAACAGGACTAAGGCTGCAGCTGGTCAGCGAAGACGTTCAGCTCACTAGGAATCCTAAAGAGACTGACAATCAGCTTTCATTTTATGTGGACTGTTTTCTACTTTTTCTGCATTTTATGTCAGTATTGAATTTCTGTGCATTATCCTCGTGTAATTAATTTCTAACATTGAATACGCCCACTTGCATCCTTTACTGATTGCATGCTGCTCTACACAGCTTCCACGGACCACCCTCTTTTCCAACAAATGTAATTGTTACAGACTAATTTACCATAAAATGAGCACTCCTGTTATAGTAGGCTGTGAAATTGTTTTAAATTTCTATTAACCCTTGAATTAGACAAGAAAAGAACTACTACTTTCTGCAAAGCAAGCTGTATTCATCCAATCAAGGGGGAATTGTGTGACATCTGCGTATTAAGCGCTCTGGCTGTGTGTTGTTTAGTACCCGTGCCTTATAGCCGCTTGAAATTAGACTCAGTGCTTGAGAGTTAAAGACGCCCGGAAGAGGGTGGATCGCTATCTCGCTGTGGCCGAGTTCACCGCGAGCTCACACACACACACACACACACACGCGCGACGCCACCGCCGCCGCCGCCGCCGCCGCCACATCTTGGCATTGCACGGCCCTGTGTAGCCCCGAGGATATCAAATGCTAATGCAGCGGGCCTATTTGCATGTACTCTCATGTACCCTCCCTGCAAATGTGCAAAACACTTTCATAACCAACGCTGGCCTGTTCTCTGCGGTTCAGCATCCAAGTATGATAATTTGGCGCGATGGACCCAGGAGGGAGAGCTGCATGTGAGAAAGGGACAGAGGGTGAAGACAGACATTACTAACTTGCCTCCATCTATCCATCATGCTTCTGTTGATTTGATTCCCCTCCATGCCATTTTCTGCTATTATCACTGATGATATTACAGCCGCCTGTGGTGCCGAGTTACATTTAGAGGTCAGAACTGTACTTTCCTGTATTAAAAACGCATTTCTCTGTACCGTTTCACTGGTCAGAGGCAGCATTAGCCAAGTCAGAGGCTCCATTTAGCTTATTGAAAAAGCTAGCAGCTTAGAGGATAGAACATTAGATATTAGGATAGAAACCATCATTTGAGATGAAATGTCAACGGGCCATATCCAAAACAGATCATTTTTCAGTCTTTATGTGCTATTATGTCCAAAATAATGATTTCTGTGTCTCCGATAATCTAATGAAAGATAAGTGATGGTGTGGAAGCCGTCTCCTCTGTTTGAATCGATGAACTGTCAAGAGTGTAAGGGTGGAAAAGAAAGTAAATGTTACTGTGCAATGATCAATAAAAGTAGACTTGAATATGAGCGAGCCATGTATCAGTCGTCTGTGATGTTTCCTCTTGGCTTTGGCCGCCTGCAACACAGTCTGTTGTCTCTACCCACCTCCAATGTAGTTAACTGGCGGGGTGCGTTCAAATAACGCTATGTGGGAGAATAGATGGAAGGAGGTGAGACAAGAGGCCAGCCTGTCTTGTCTTTTTGAGGCTGGAGGGGTACACAGTGTGGAGGAGGAGGTGTTAAAAAAAAAAAAAAAGTGTGTGTTAGAGGTGGAGATTCTGTGGGCAGATATGGCGGACAGCTGGATTGCATCTTCTGGTCCTGGCGGATTCACACCATCAGGAACATCGCACATTGATGCCTGTGAAGACGGTGACAATCAAGCCTCCCCGAGATACACATCAGCTGCTGCTTCATCAGGAGAAGCAATAATCTAGATCTCTTGTGGTGCTTTAAGTGGGGTGAGCTGACCCCCAAGTGTCCTTGATCTTGCAGGGGGAAGCTTTGAAGATATATAGGGATGGCTACTGTAATAAGTGGTCTGTGCGCTCTCATGTTCACACAGCATAGATAGAAAGAAGCACAACAGATGTGCCTCAGTTGTGCAAAATAGTACTAAATAGGGTCACTGGGTGTTTACCGTCAAAGGATAAGGCTAGTGATGTATTAAATTATGTAAGAAGAGAAATCAACAATGAACTGGTTGCACTAACAAGTAAAAATACCTTATTCCTCTGCCATAGAGCTCCACTGAGCCACATCACTACACTGGCTGACGGGTTCCTTCAATAGCATAAGCATTGGCACTGTAGGTTACTTTGAGTCAATCCAACATGCACGTCCTGAATTAAATCAGTTATGCACCAAATGTGTTTTAATCGGCAGCTGAAAATAGTCCCCAAAAAATGCAGCATTCCTCCTGACAGTGTAATGTGTGATATAAAAAAAACGACAGTTCCCAGCTGTTTGAGGAAATTACTGAGTATCCAAATTTGATGATTTTGATGAGATAAACTGAAAGATAAAGTTTTCCTTTTTAAGAAAAACCCAAAAATCACAAAGCTGTTTTTCTTTGCTCCTGAAAAGTTGACATTTGATGTTTGATCCATGGTTTTCACAAGATTGCCGCTATAAAAGTATATATTTGTGACCAGCTTTTAGAATTGTTTCTCAGTTGGAAAAACAAAATCCCTTCAAAGCTTTTGCACTCAGGAAAGTCTTGAAGACAAGTGTGTTGGAACATAAACTGAAATAACAAAAAAATCAAAACAATCAAATATCTGTACTATCACACAATCATAATGGCATGTGTTTGAAACCCACTGCTTTATTTAGTGCTGTCTGTCAACACTGAACAACTTCTTTGAAATTGGATTGGCGGCCGACTCGTCTGTGGGAATCTGTCGGAGCCAATACAGAAAACAGAAAGAATTTCACTTTTTCAAATTGGATTTTAAAACAACAGAACATTTTGCTGATATGACTCAGTTCTCAGGTCTACCAGGGGGTGGGATCAGGGGGCTCTAGGGCCAGAGGCTCTGTTTGAAGTTAAAATATCTTGTTGAAAATTCAGTCAAACTACAAAGAGATGCAAAACAACCACGGAGAGATTAAAACTGACTACAAAGACACACAGAATTACTATAAAAAGAAATGCAAAAGGAAGAGCTGCAAAACAGCCACAAAAAGACGCAAAATTACAACAAGCGACGAGGCCGCATCAGTCTGGCGGTCTGTGGTGGGGGCGCTTTTTACATATCTATAACAGGGTCCCAGTGTCACACTATGCGTCTATGTTCATTGGAACAGCTTTATGCATGTTTTTTACTTCTTTATGTGCCATTTTGGGCGTCAGCAACTTCAGCACTGACATGTATTTTCACACTAAAATAGTCCTCTCTCACTTTTATTTAGGTCTTTACAAGGCTTTATTAAGTAGAACACAGAACTTTCAAGACTAAATGTTGGTGTTTGCATAGGGATTTTGTCCCCTCTCTCCTGTGCACAGGGCCCAGTCGTCATCATGGATGGCAGTGCTCAGTGGGGGCTGGAGTAGACAAATTAGGCCAGCTATATAAAGTGGATGAATCTTACTTTTGAAATGGTTGCCATGGAAGACTTACTAGATGCTGCAGTGCAATGTGGGATACTCTAGAGCGAGCCTCTGTGTGTGTGTGTGTGTGTGTGTGTGTGTGTGTGTGTGATGAGTGTGTATGTACGCAAGAAAAAGACTGGAAGCACATCTTGGGTTGTTTATTAATGAAAGACGGAGTGAGAAGAACAGTGAGTGCATCTGTGAGTGTGTATATCAGTTTCTGCAGGAAGACAGCGAGAGCGTGATAGAAAGCGAGAGAGAATGAGGAGTGCCTTTACATCTGTGTGTGGGAAGATATTGCTAGAAAATGTCATACCTGTCATGTTACCTAAATAACATTTATCAAGTTGCGAGATCACATTTAAAGAGCAACACAGCCGTCTCTTAGTGTAGTTTACAATCTGAAATCTCACGACAGCCAGACCTTTCACTAATCCCATTGATATTCAAAACCGTGTGTCGGCGTGCGTGAGCGTACTTGTTCATATGTTGAATTCTTACATCCCCGCGTGGCAAGCAAAGATCAATAAGACTCAAGCTTTACTGAAGTCAGCCTTTTCTTTAATGTACAGACTGCTCAGGTACAGAGTGGCGGAAACAAGGAATGGTGCTCCAACTGGCCCAGCTTGTGATGTCCTCATGCTTCTTTGTCACGTCTGATTTCCATCAAAAATAATGAAGTTTCTTCCCCTCGTCGCAGCCCTTAAAGCGATGCTGATTTTGGAGATCCAAAAGGGAGAGGTGAGTTTTAAAGGGTATGTTTGGATATTTTGAAATGGGGTCCTATGAGATAGTTATAGTCAGGGTATTACGTACAGTGGAGAGCGGGTGGCACGCCCCGTTTGGAGAAGCAGACAGGAGCACTGGCATGGAAGCTAAGCAATGTACTGCTGTGGACGGGGGCAGCAGTGAAATGTATTTTAGCCACGTAAAAAAAAAATCAGTTTACACAACATTTAGAATATTATTTACCATCAGATAAACCTCTAAACTGGGGATCGCCATCTACTACCTCGTACAACTCCACTTCAAAAACATCTGAACTAAGTTAAGCTAAGTTTGGACCTGTGAGTCACAGCTCACATCAAGACCTGTTTGGACGGTAACCTGCGGGCATCCCCGCTTTGATCTGTCAAGACAGGACTTCTACTTTGACCTCCTTGATCCTATTCAGGTACTCCATCAAACAGACAGGAAAAGTAACGGAAACTTGGCTCAAGCAGGAAAATCTCAGTGTGTGAATGAACAGGTTTGATTGCTTAGATATTTTGGAACTAAGACTAAATGTAACAGGAATATCATGCAAGGTGAAGGGTTTTACATCACATGAAATTCCCACAAATCCCTTAACCTTTTTTAATGTACTCATGCATTTCAGCTGCAGGATAATACTTCCAGTTTTGGAGGATTTGAGCATCTTTCAGCTCATTGTTTTAATTGTAACACTGTTTTGGTCCACTGTCATCAACCTTGTTTCTGGACAGAGCAGGCAACTGTTTTCAGTTAAAAAGCAATAATAAACCCCACTATAGGCCGAAGAAAATGGGGACAAGCTGCTGAACAACATTTAAGTTTGTAAACTGATAATATGTCAATGTTGTAGTTACAGCTTGTTGCGATGCCCCCAAGTGGCCAAAAAAATCAATTAATGCAGGTTTAAACTGAGAAAATGTCCATTATAATAGCTTATTTATTGTCAGTTAAAATGTAGCCCAAAGAGGTTAAGGGGCTTTGTTTCCTGCAGTGAGCCTTTCAAGGGGCTCTGTGCTGCCTCCAGCAGACGCTCCTCTAATTAATTGGTTATGGACCTCAATTGAAATAGTTTCATGGCCTATAGTTCCCAGTGTTGATGTAAAAATATCTTTAGTTAAAGGTCCAGTGTGTAACATTTAGGAGGATCTATTGGCAGACATGGGATATAATATTCATGTTCATTTATTATGTTTTCATTAGTGTATAATATTATTATTGACGGAGTTCGCCATGTTGAACCTCTATGTTTCTACAGTAGCCCACTGGCTCTAGATAGGGCATTTTGTGGCCACTATATTTCTCCTACATGCTTGGAAGGCGAGCGGTATTCAGTCGGTTGCAATCTGCAACTTCCCCTCTAGAGGCCTCTAAATCCTACACAGTTAGTCCTCTAAGGGTAAGGGATGGGTTCTCATTTTAAGATCACTTTTTGGCATATTCACTTGTCTTAATGACAAGGAAATTAGGGGAGAAGGGGTTAGGGTAACCTAACCCTAATTTAACAAGGATCACCAACTGGAATCAAACCAGCACCATAAAAGTTTAAAACCAAGCATCTCCTCTTTCTCTTATTGTGCACACATTAAATTGTGCAAGCTCACTCATGCTAGACCCTTGGTCTTGCTAGTGAGGTGGAGCTAGTAGCAAAGTGACAAGTCCACAAAGTCCTTTTTGCATACATGAAGAAGCTCATATAGAATACGCCTGTTTTATCCTTTACTCTGCTTAAACTATTAATTAAGCAGTTTTATTTTACTTTGCTGTATTTTATACCAAACTTTCCTTCCACATGGGTAGAATCTGACAGTTCTTCTGCCCGACTAGAATATATTGGTAACCCACAGACTGTAGCTGTACACCCACACACAGACTCACATACGAACACTCACACTTTTCTCACTCATTTATTTATTTATTTCCTGTCTCGCAGTTGGCTGGGAACTGGAGTTGGAAATTATAAAATTTCGACTCCCTCATTTCTTTCCAATTTCACTTCAATTTCTTCCCCATTCCGTGCTCCCTCCCTCTAATTTCTGCCTCTCCTCTCCCATCTCATTGTGCTCTCTGCTTTCCTTGTTAGCTCTGCTCGGGTCTCTCACCTCTCATTAGCTTCTCCTCTGCTGACTGGAGGCACCTGTCCTCAGGTCCCTCTGCGGATATCTCAGCTTCTGTTTAAATC